ATATAAACTCGAATCACGAATCATGAAAACATTTTAAAAAATGACGTGTAAAATATTCGAGAATGTTTAAAAACAAAAAAAAATTGATTGGTTTTTTTTAAATAAAATGACGAATTAAATTGTTATAGAAAAAAAAAAAAATTTTTTTTTTTATTTTTAAACAACAACAACAACTTTCACTTGCAAAAAAAAAAAAAATTATGTCTTCTACTCTTTTTACAATAAAGATTCGTAACAAGTTTTTCTGTTGCAAAAAAAAAAAATCCCATCGATGAATTAATATTTACTAAATATAAAAAATAATAATAATTATTACATTAAAATTTAAAAAAAAATTCGTAACATTTGTTACATAATTATTAAGATTAGTAAAAAATCAGGTTTTTCATTCGTTTTTTTTAAAAATAAATTTATTTATTTATTTAAGTAAATAATAAATAAAAGTGTAATGGAATTCAGTCTAATGTTGCAGACGACCGTGACAAATTTATAACAACTAGAGTAACTAAAGGTTAAAAACCACATCAGGTCAAAATGTTTTTTTTTTAATTTGTCTGCTAGATAAAGTATAATAATGGTTGTGACTAATTTTTAAAAGAAATTAATACCGGCATCACGGATATTATTTTATTTTATTATAAATATTATTATTATTATTTAAACGGATTTCTTTTCATTTTTTTCAATAAATTTTACGTTTCATTAAAAAGTTATAATTAAAATTCAATTGGAAAAAAAAATAATTATTGGCATGCAGAAAAATAATTTTTATAAAAAAAAAAAAAAGTTATACCGTTATAGTTTTTACAAAAGACGAGGGGATTCTATTTTAAAGCAGAAGACAAAAACATTTTTCTCATGGTTATCAATAAATTATCATTCCATTCACTACAATTTAATTGTCTTTGTAACAAAAAAGAAAAGTTACAATAACAAGTTACTTTTTTTTTTTTAAATGAGAGACTTTTACGTTCGAATTTTCAAACTACCGTATTTAAAAACGTAGAAATTTATATTTTAACCGATACAATTAAGTAAAAGTAAAAAAAAACACGCACACACGCACGTACGCACATATACACTCACTACTTTCAAAGATATTTTATTATTGTAAAATTATTATGAAAAAATAATTATTAATTAAATACCCTAACGAAAAAAAAAAGAAAAAATTTATCGCATTTTTACACCCCACATGAATTAAAATTATTTTCCAGTTTCCGTTTCCGCTTCTCTTGTTTTCACCAAAAAAAAAAAAAATTCAAATGGATGCTCTTTTGTTCTTATCATTATTATTTCTCTTTTTTTTTTTTTTTAATTCTTCTTCCCCCTACCGGATTAACTATTTTATTTTTACATTAAAATAAATTTTCTTTAGAAAAATAATTTATATTAATTATTTACTTATTTATCTATTTATTAATTCATGTAAGAAATAGATAAATAAATAAATCTAATAAAGTTTAAGTCAAAGTTTTCAAAACGTGTATATTTTTGCTATATATAGAAAAATAATATTTCGTTAATAATCTTTTACATATAAATGAGGAAAATATCGCGTGTTAATATGTAGGCAAGTGGGAATCATTCAGAAGAAAAGTAAAAAAAGGAAAAAAAAGGAAAGAAAAAGGAAAAATCAATAATCGATCGATTAATAAACAAAAAAAAAAATTTCACCGAAAAAATATTAATTAAAATATTTTGAATAATTTATTAATAATTAATACTACAAGTTATAGAGAGAGAGAAATAGAGAGAAATAGAGAGAGAGAAATAGAGAGAGAGAAAGAGAGAGAGAGAGGCAGAAAGAAAGAGAAAAAACTATAAAAGTAACGAATGTGTCGAAAAAATGTATGTAAAAGCTTTGAAAAAATTTATCCTTTCATACATACTAATAATTATTATTATTATTATTAATTAAATTTAACGGAGAACAAAAAAAAGCAGGAGCGGAACCGGGATAAATTAATTAATTAATCGTTTCATTTTTTTTTATTAGCATCGTCATCATCATCTTATAAATAAAATACAATCCGATAAAAAAAAAAATATTTTTTTATTAATTTGCTTTGCAATAATAATAATTATTATTATTAATAATTCGAAAATAAAAATGAAAATTATTTAAATATTATCACGTGGTGCGAAAAACATTATTAAGGTACATACATAAATTTAAAAA